GATCTTCAAATGCTCGGCATGCTCTGCCTCATACGAGAATAGATCGAATATCGTCAATGAAGACCACCACAAATTGATCCAAATATGGTCGGAACACCCGATTCATCAATCCATGAAAGCTGCAGGAGCGTTCGTCAAACCAAAAGGCATCACTAAGAATTCATAATGACCATATCTAGTGCGAATAGCCGTTTTTGCAATATCTGATCCTTTAACTTTCAATTGATAATACCCCAAACGAAGATCAATCTTAGAGAATACAGTACTCCTCGCAATTGATCAAATAAATCATCAATCCTGGGTAGTGGGTATTTATTCTTGACCGTCATCTTGTTCAATTTCCGATAGTCAATACATAATCTTAGCGACCCATCCTTTTTTTCACGAACAGAACTGGGGCTCCCCATGGTGAAGTACTATGTCGGATAAATCCTCGATCGATAATTCTTGCAATTGGACTTTCAACTCTTTAAGTTCCCTTTGAGCCATACGATAAGGTGCCATAGAAATAGGTGACGATCCCGGATAAGTCTCAATCTCGAACTCTACCTCTCTATCAGGAGTAACCCAGGCAACTCCTCCGAAAAACATCAGGAAACTCGCTAACTGTACGAATCTCCTCGATCGTGGATAATGCACCCTTGTGTTCAAAATACAAGCAATGAAGGTCTCATCCCTTCCGGATCATACGATCATTTCCATCGCTGAAACTATATTGGGAGAGATAGCCGCGACGTTCACCAATTAACATAACGTCCGGCCATCAAAAGTTTTCAAAGTAGCTATCTGTGCTCGCAATCTAGATTTACTTTGTTTTTAGTCAACCAATCCATCCCAAGAATTAGATCGAACTCCTCTAAAGAATTTCTCCATGTCCTCAAGAGGACAATGCCGAAATACTTTATTTACTAATACCGCTTGTCCTACTGGACTCGTAACTGTAATAGTATTTTCAGTGTTCTCAATTGAAATCTGAAGGTTCGTGATACCGAGCTCGATACATAGGAGTGAGTGGAGCCATTGTACGATAATGCAAGTATTGATAGAATAACTAGTAAATGTACATTCAATAACCTCCGGTTTATCTATGTTCTCCCGTATCTAGTGGCATAACCCAAAGTTGGCTGTCTAGCCTCAGAAGCTGTTGGCCCTTATTTTGATGAGGGGCTCTACTTTCTGTCCTGGACGCTGATTCTCGAGTCTTTCCTTGACTACGATCTCTAATTGGGGTCTGTACTGTAATCTGAGAACGCACAGGAGTCTGGAGTGGTATGCTCAAACAAAGTTAGCTGAGGACAATCCCTCCGATAATGACCACTAGATCCACACTGATATCAAAGACCCATCTTCTTACGACACTCTCCTGTGTGTTGTTTACCACAATACTCACAAAGGAGTCCATGATAATACGACGAGAAACCGTCCGACTTGCCAATTAACGGTGAGGATGCTGCAGGCCTAAACGTGTATTGCTTCTCCGAGGGGCCAAAGTACGAGTCCTCTTCCCGGACTGTGCTGATGACTCAATATTAGTCGCTACTATGATCGTGTAATCATGCCAATACCTGTGGCAGAAGGCATATTCATTGGGGTCGTAGGGCAGGATCACCTAACGAGGTGGGGGATCTACTCGTATCCCATCGATCGGTCTGCAAATCTAGCCACTCGATCTCGTCCACGGCTAGTTTGACGACCACGTCTAGCACTAATTTCGATTGATCTCAATTTACTCCAGAAGATGAAATTAAGGTTAGATCAGCTTGAAGTCTCGAACATAGTTAAAAATCTTAATAATTTTGTGACATGGCCTTAGTAACCCGTTTTGTAAAATTTCAAACCGTATTTTCAATGTGGACTCATACACAGTCCGAGGGTTAAAAACCAAAAGCTCTGATACCAATAAATGTAACCCCCTAGACCCGGCCTATGCGTTTCGATTAAGTCTAGTGGATCACTTATGATTATTAAAGACATTTTCGAAACCGTTATTCCATCAATATAAATCACATTTAAATACATGAATTATAAACAAATTATACTATCAAAATCCAACTCGTAAATAGTACCAATAAATAATAATTTAATTTCAAACACGTCTTCAAATTCAATATCACAATAAACCGAGCAATATTAGCAAAAGAGTTATCATTATAAAATCCGATATTTTAAAATAAGGTCCTGTCACCAAAATAAAGTCAACTTGCCAGATAAAAACATTACAATTTGATTTACTTCAGAGATATTTGATCCTCCAAGTGCTCGAACCAAGGTATCTAACCAACAGTATCTGAAAGGGGAAACATTTTCAAAAGGTGAGCTAGGCTCAGTGTGTCCCAACATTTCCATAAAATCATCATAGGTACAAATCATAGTCCAGTAATCTCACAAATTCGTAAAAGAGTTTAACTTTTGAAAATCATAGTTTAAACCCTTTTTCTGGTACACCATCAGTAGTTCCCAAAGTATTTTCCATATAGCTTACTTTATGCACATAGCAAAAGAAAGCCGACTTAAGGATAGGCTATGAAGCTTGTATCCTTAAGCCCAAGTCAATAAGTCCATATAGCTTACCCTAAGCACAACAAAGGAAAGCCGACCTAATGACACATCTTGGGGCCCTCAAGAGTCACATTAGGCCAGTTAGCTTGATCAGAGCTATTCATCGTATTTCAATTCCAAATTCAATTGCACCGTGACATAAATTCCATAAATCCAAAAACATGGTAATCAATACCATTTCAAACAAAAATTAGATAGCAGCCATATTCCATAATTGTCACATTAAATGGTGATCCATAAAACAATAGCCAATGAATTCGGTGTACCACATATTAAAACCAAAACAGTTCAATAATAAGTAGGGAACACACCTCGACAATAGGTTCAAATAGCAAATTTACTGATTGTTGGTTTCACCACGCTCTGCTACAATTTTCGAACGGGTGAATACTGGCACGTGGTTTAACTGATCTAGAGAGCTGGTCGAGCTGTCGAACGATCCGGAGAGTCTTGTACCTTCAAACAATAATATTTATCAGTCTCAAATCCTATTTAATTGTTCAAAGCTAGTCTTCTTAAGTATATAAGCATTTTCGAGTTTGACTATCAATTTGGGGTATTTCGAGTCTGAATTTGGCCAAACGATTGCGGAAACGGAATCAGGACGTCGAAAAATATAAAGTATGACTTTTCGGAAATTCAGATTCTTGGTCAAAGTCAAAGTCAACCACTTTGACCGTAGATTTGGAGACCTTCGGGTTTGAATTTGGCAAAACGGACAGCGGAAATGGATTTGGCACGTCGAATACTATCAGGATAGGTATACTCGGAAAAGATTACGGTCGTTTAAGGTCGGTCAAAGCCATTTTAAGTTTTAGTCAAAGAAAGTCATGGTCAACGGTCACGGTCAACGGTCACGGTCAACGGTCGGGTCAACGGTCGGGTCGGGTCAACCCGGTTCAAACGGTCAAACCGGTTCAGACCGGTCAAACCGGTTCGAACCGGTCAAACGGTTTTCCAGCAGCTCACTCTCCCTGCGGCAGCGCGTTCGGCGCGTGAACAGTGTCACGGTGTCGGAAAATTCCCGGAAAAATTCTAAAAATTATTTTGAGCGATTTCGAGATACTTACACGATCGGTTCAAATTTTTGAACGGCGGAGAGCTCGTATTTTAACTCGCCGAATTTGACTGCTCCACCTCCTCACACGCCGCCGTCGACGGCAAACAAGGTTGATACCGGCGGACTCGCAACGCACAAGGAACACGATGATGCAGGAGGTGTCGTAACGGAAAACGATCGGCGGTGAATTTAGTTTTTCTCGGCGATAGAGCTAAAAAAACGACGATGCTTTGACTGAAATTCCCGACGTTTGGCAGCGTTTCACTTCAATTAATTTGAAGGTTTGTTCCTCGCTTGATGATGACACAACGGTGGTTTCAATTTTCGATTGGACGTCGAACGGCGTCGGAATCGGACTTGGAAGTAGGGTCGGGAGGAGAAAAACTTAAGCAATTTAACATTTATGGTTTCTGATTTAAAACCAGAAACACGCTTAAATCACCAAAGCTGCCGATACTTTTAGGATAAATTTAGGGTTGGTCCATGATTTTCTTAACTCTAAACAAACTCTAGTTTAAAATATTTCAATTTAATCTAAAAAAATTTACCAATTTTCACATTAACCTCCGATTTCAATTTAATATTATTCTAAATTTGTTACAGATTCTACCGAGAAAATTTGGTGCCCGGTATAATGAATTTCTTCAACCTGCCTAGATAACTCCAGATTCAAGGACTTGCCCAGGCTTTCATTTTGCTCTTTTTACAGCTCCTATCATTTCAATGGATCATACATTGGATAAAACAAAAATGAAAACAATTAATGGTGACGCTGGGAAAGTTCCATTATTTTGATAGTTTCGTTCGCCGGTTGAACAATAACAGTACACTGTTAAACCTAAAACAGAGCTGTCATCCATTTCTCGTGAATCGAAATCAATCTCATTAAAGAAATTTAAGCTTTTAAAACATGTTATTTTCCTTTTCGGGAGCAATCCAAATCAGGAAAAAGAGCAATTAACCCAGAAAAGGCAACTAGAAACGAAAACACATGATGACAGGTCAAGTATGAACGAGTTTCCTTTTCCTTTGTTAAACCCAAAAAACCCTTATGCTCCCTCCTTTACAGATTTACAGACGGACAAGAAACGAGCAATGGTTCGCAAGATTTGCACGAGCAAAGGTGTATGCAAGGCAAAAGGACAATGCATGAGCCCCTGCAGTTGCATTGTTTACAGCTATTTTATGTCTCTTTCTCTTCTTCTTGTTCTTTTTTGCACGAGCCACGAAAAATGGATCCTTCATCTTCAGCTGAACTTTCCATAACTAATCTTTGCTTAGATCCATAACCATTGATTCATTGGCTTCTGCAAGTGTTTTCCATGACTGGCTTTCCATTCCCACTCTTCTCAAGCGTGCTTCAAGCTCCATTCTTTTCTTATTGCTCGTGCCAAGTCTTCTCTTTGCCGCATCAAATACAAGGCTTTTGTTTCGATACTCTGAAGCAGGACGGTTAACCTCTCATTCTGAGTTTTTAGAACACGAAAAATAGAATTTCAGTAAAACTATATGAAACAGTTGACAATTTGACATAAATGATGGAGTTCTCACATGTAACTGAAGAAAGAAATCAAGTTCCTACCTTTGAATCTCCAGTTGAACATCTAAAGTTGAGAAACCGCCACGGAAGTCGAGCTCTGAGTGTTTTGTTGAAAAGGAACCTCTGGAGATTGGACCCAGTTTCAAATGAAGGAAGAATAGGCAAAAGCAAACCCGTATTTCTAACCAAACTGTGCTTGACCAGCCATAATGACTATCACCAAGCATTCATCTTTGTCTAACCCGAAATAAGCAGACAATAGTGAAAGAAACCCGAGGATGATTATAAATAGAGCGGGGGAAAGTGGACAGAAACGTATGAGAGAGATACAAAGACGACGTAGGCATACAGATTTTCTGACAGCAGGTATAGAACTATGGCTGTATTAAGAGATTTTTTGGCGAAGAGAAAGTATGAAAGAGAAATTCACTGGATTGGGACCTGAAAGAGCCGGACGTTATAAAGACGAAGGAATCAAATGTTTGGTGAGTTTTGTCATTTTTTGAGAGGTTGAGAAAAAAAATTGATCCGAATAGTATTGATTAATATTGATTTTAGTTTGAGCATTTTACCAATATAATTATAACGGTTATAGATATTATATGTTTAAAAATGTTTTAGTTATTAAAATAAAAAATAATAAAAATGTTCATAAATATTTTACACAATTATTCAAATTTAAATCATTAAGATAACAACGTAAAATTTTATTATTGAGACTACTTAAAAAGTTTTATAATAGTTAGTTAAATTAAAAAAATATGCAAAAGCTACATAATTAAATGAATAGATTTCAATCAATTGATTAAATTTTAAATTATTCAAAAAATTTAACAATTTGTTAATTTTAATTTAAACAACAAAAGTAGAAGGTTTCAATATTTATTTTAAGATCTCATCTCCATATGCACGATCTTCGAAGTTTAAAAAGATTGATGGGTTTTAAATATGAAAAATTTATTTTAAGAATTCTGAGCCATTACTAAGATCCAGGTTTATAATTGAAAACATATTAAAATTTAAGCCTTGATAATTTAATTAACTAATAAAAATTTCTTAAGAAAGAATTAATTAATTTTAATAGAAATATTTATTTGTTATCCTTCCTATTTCAAGGCTTCACATTGATTAATTCAAACGATCGTTACACCCTTGATTTGGTGAGTGTGTCTCCCAACATAAATTTTTCTCATACTTGAGCGGTATTAATAAAATATTTTAATATTAATTCAATCAACTAATTCAATTAAAATAAAAATAAGCACGATTCCATATTTATGTGCCGTGTGGCCATGTTTATGTCGTTGGATTAATGGGCTTGTGTGATGGGGACTAGTTGTCTGGGCCAGAAACGTCACCGCATCTGTGGTAAACCCAGCTGCCAGTCAGCCTGGGGAATCAGGATCCAGGACCCATCTGTGCTTTGGAACTATTATTATAATTTCTTTTCGGGTTTTTATTTAAAATATAAATTGGATGTAATAATGGATAGATTGCCATAAAGTTTAAAATGAATAAGAAACATAAATCTTAGCGACCATCATAAGAATTTTGATTGAAGTATTGGAAATATTAAGAGAAGATATTAACAAAATTCATCTATATTTCGATTTTAAATATTCATGAGCCATACAAATCAATAAGAGAATGTTGTATAACGCTTGGTGGAACTGCTGAACCATAATCGTATTTGAAACTTGGTTGGTTCATGGTTGGTGGGATGATCGTGAGAGATTTTCACGTACCACATTCGCATGTTGAGACCATTTATGAGTAATTTTTGGTGTTTATTTTTTACAGGGGAACCATCATGGTAAATAAGAGAAGACCAGAGGTTCATAAGTACCAAAAATTTAAAAACTAAGGGTTTATTTAGTCATAGAAAATATAAATTATTTTCTTCTTCATAGAAAATAGATAAATTTGAAGTGCTCAATAATCATTTAATACATTCTATAATAATTCATTTTGTTTAACGTATTCCATCAGGGCCGGCTTTGGGCAGGGGCAAGAGGGGCACCTGCCCAGGGCTCATAATTTTGATTTATATTAATTTATTATATTTTAATAAATTAAATTAAAAGTATGGCCCATATATATTAATATATTATTTTTTATATTAATGCAAAGGCCCCATAAATATTAATGTTCAATTTTAAATGATTTCTTATCATAATCACGAGGGCCCATTACCATAAATATTAATATATTATTTCTAATGCAAGATGACTCATAAATTAGTATAAATTAATGCTAGTTGAATTAATTTTTTTTGGATGTTCTCATCTATAAACGTTAATGCAAGAGCCAAGGGCCCATAACAGTTACATAAATATAATATATTATTTCTACATTAATGTCAGATAACTCATAAATATTAGTGTAAATTAATGCAAGTTGAATTTAATTTTTTTGGATGTTCAACGTTAATACAAGAGCCAAGAGGGCTAACAATTACTTTTTTTATTTCCTATAAATGATAGGAGAACATTGAAGTAAAATCAATTTATTTCTTATTGTTCTTAATTTTCAATTTCTCATATTTCTCACAATTCACAAACACAATTACTTATCATCAATTGTGGTCATTGAAGATATTTTAAAATAAGTAAGTTTGTGTTTCCAAATTCTTTTATTTTTATTTTTATTTTTATATATTTTTAATTATAGATAAACTTATTCTATTTTTGTTTCATAAATTTGGATATGAAATGTCAAACGTGTATATGCAGATACTTCATCTTCCTTCTAAGTTCAATCATTACGGTGTTGCGAATTTGGCGTATAAATACTTCGATCGAGGATCTTCCCATTTACAGGTGTTATTGTTCTTTTCTACATTAGTTGCATTGTTATATAATGTTTCCTAAAAAACATTTGTCTGGTAGTGAAAAAAAAACAAATAGATGATTTAATAGAATTACAAAAGGGAGCTCTTGATAAATTCTTTAAAAATAGAGTAGGAGAGTCTTCTAATGAAAATTTAAATGATATTGCTGAGAATTTAAATAATTGATAGTTCTTCAAATGAGTCTAATTTAAATGTCCATAATCATGCACAAAACGAGTCTAATGTTGAAGATGTTGGGATTGATCAACACTTAGTCCCTACTGTAGACATTTATGATCCTAGAAATTGGGGTAATCTTGATAACAAATCTAGAGATATTTTAGTTGAAAAGGGGCCTATAAAAGAATTGAATTTGAAATTTCCCTTAGCCAATAATTCTAGGCATTTTTCATATGCTTATTTTCTAAAAGTTGAGTAATTGAGAGATTAGCGATAGAAAATGGTTGGTCTATTCTAAACATGTGGACAAAGTTTATTGTTTTGTTGTAAATGTTTACAAAAAAAAACAATAAGAGTTATTTAGCAAATGATGGATTAAATGATTGGAAGCATATTAGTGAGAGACTCGAACAACATGAAAATAGTATTGAGCATATGACTAATATGAATATTTGGAGTGAATTAAGAGTGAGATTAAAAACTAATCAAACACTTGATAAAGATTTACAACAAGGAATTTCAAAAGAAAGAACGTTGGAGGCAAGTTTTAATGAGAATAGTTTGTGTTGTAAAATGTCTTGCTAAAAATAATTTAGCTTTTCGAGGATCCAGTGAGAAAATTTACGATGAGAAATAATGGAAGTTTTTTAGGATTAATTGAAATGATTACTGAATTTGATTTGCCTATGCAAGACCATATTAGGCGTATTCAAAGTGAAAATATTCATTATCATTATCTTGGTCATATCATTCAAAATGAACTAATCTCTCTTGGCTCATAGTATTAGAACTTCTATTCTAAAGATCATCCAGAAGGCAAATTATTTCTCTGTTATTCTTGACTGTACTCTGATGTAAGTCATTAAGAACAAATGACTTTAATAGTGCGATGTGTAAATATGTCAAACAACAAAGTAAAAATAGAAGAGCACTTTTTAGAGTTCTTGAAAGTGGATGATACATCTGGATTAGGGCTTTTCAATGAATTAGTAAATATATTGCAATCTAGAGTTGAACGTTGATGATGTGAGGGCCAAGGATATGACAATGGTTCTAATATGAAAGGAAAACACCAAGGTGTTCAAAAGAGATTACTTGAAATAAATCCTAGAGCTTTATATGCCATGCGCTTGTCATAATCTTAATCTTTCTCTTTCTGATATGGCACATTCTTGTGTTAAAGCTATTTCTTTTTGGGATTGTGCAATATATTCATTGTTCGCAAATTCTACCAAAAAGTGGAAAATTTTATGTGATAATGTTCCGGAAACTGTGAAATCTTATCTGATACTCGATGGGAAAGTCGAATTAAAAGTGTCAAAGCTATTAATGTCATACTCCTAAATAAGGTTAGCTTGTTACAATTATATGAATATTGTGGTAATGATGCAAAAGCAAAAAGTGAAGCAGAAAGTTTAGCTAGTGCCCTTCAAGATTTGAATTCTTACTGGAATGGTTATTTGGTATTTATTTGCTATCAACACGGTAAGTAAGAAATTACAATCTAAATCAATGTGCATTGATACTACCATAAAGGAGTTGGAAGGTGTAATGTCATTTTGAAAACTATAGAAATTAGGGGTTCGAAGCTAGTATAGATATTGCTAAAGTCTTGCATTAGATATGAAATATAGCCAATTTTCCGACTAAGCGTCGTATTTTTAGAAAAAAAAGACAATTTGATGAGAATGACCATGATGAAGAAATTCAATCAATAGAGGAGTATTTTAAAGTTAATTTTTTGTTGTTGTTGTGATATGGTGCTCGCTTCTTTGAAAGATAGATTAAACAATAAAGATTTTTGAAAATTATTTTGAATTTTTAATTAATTCTACAAGGTTGAAGTCATTGGATGACAATAAATTAAAAGAATGTTGCAATAATTTTAAGATTTTTTTTTCTCATTTGTCGGATGTTGATGTAGATGATTTTTTTTTTCTGAAATGAAAGTTGCAATTGACTTTGCCAAATGTATTCATGTCAGCGCTTGAAGTTCTTGAGTTTGTTAAAGCTAGAGATTATTATCCTAATGTTTCAATTGCTTATCGAATCTTATTAACACTGTCGGTAACGGTAGCATCCGCGGAAAGAAGTTTTTCAAAGCTGAAAATATTGAAGATTACTTGAGGTCAACAATGTCACAAGAAAGATTGAATGTACTCGCTATGTTATATATTGAGAAAAATATGTTAAAAAGCATTGATGTTGACACTATCATCAATGATTTTGCATCAATAAATGCTCGAAGGCAATGTTTTTTATAAATATTTATATGCTTAAATATGTTTTTGACATTTTTGATATTGTAATGAATTAATGTTTATTTAATTTAATAAAATTAATTAAAATTTTATATTATATATTTTTTAATTCTTTTAAATTAGGGTCTATTTTTTAAATTTTACCCCGGGTCAAGAAAAAGTCAGAGCCAGCCCTGTATTCCATAATAGATAATCACATTTTAATTTTGATATTCAATTTAAACAATAACTAAAGATATTTCTTGTTGCTTTTGATCATTTTATGCTTATAGTAATTCATGCAGATTTGTTAATGCAAATTGCAATCGGTTCGGTCGGGTTTATTGTAAGAAAATGTAAGAAATTGATGAGGAAAAGAGTATCTACTAATATTATACTCATCAACGCGAATCGAGAAAACTGCAGCATGCCGCCACAACGGGGTACTGCTGCCGGGGATCTCGAGTAATATGGCCCGAACTGTTCCATTTTTCGTAGCCTATAATTAGTGGTGAATTCAAAAATTTAAGAATGAAATTTTAAAATTATATATATATATATATTTATTTATTTAAAATAATGTGTATGCAATTTTTTTTCTTAACACATTAAATTCAATAATTTTTTTTAAAATAATGGGATATACTTAGCTCTCAAAAGGTCTTAGTGCATCCGTCCCTTGGTGTAAATGAACCAAATTTTAACAAATAAAATTATGTTCATGCTTATTTGTTTAATTTTGAATATGTTCATGTTTTGTTTGTGTTTTTTAAAATTTTTAATATTGTGTTCGTATTCGTTTATTTATTTTTAAAAATATTTGTGTTTATTCATTTAATGTTCACGAATATTATCATTTAATGTTTACAAATGTGTTCATTTGATGTTCACGAACGTGTTCGTTTAATATTCATTTAACGTTCGTTTATCATTCGTTTATATGTTTTAGTTTTAGATTCAGTCTTTACAAGTTAAAGAAAAATGATAAATTACGATACTAGTACTTAAACTTCTTAAAATTCATAATTTAAATTTTAACTTTTATCACATGTTCAATTTAGTTTATATTTTCACCAATATTTAAAATGTAAAAAAATGAAAAGAAAAAGAGAACCGGATAAACAAAGTTTGCTCATAAATATAAACGACGATTCAATAAACGGGTTTGTTCGTTAACATAAACGATTCAAACACACCACTATTCATGTTCGTTCGTTTATTAAATGAAAATAAAAATATTCATATTAATTTATTTAACTTTATAAACAAACTATTCACCAAACAATCATCTAAGTTCACGTGGCATTTTCTAAGCCCACGAATCAAAGCTATTCATATTAATTCGACTCGAACTCAAAACCTTTAACTGTAAGCTCAACTCAACTCGAAAACTCGCGAGCCTAAAATTTTCAAACTCGAAAGATAATATTAAAATTCGACTCGAACTCGAAAAGACTTCAACTCAAACAAAAATTCAAGAGCTCGAAACTTAAGCCGATTAAAGCTCGATTTAGAACTCAATTCAAGCTCGATTTGGAGCTCGATTCAAGCTCGATTTGGAGTTCGATTCAAGCTCGATTTGGAGTTCGATTCAAGCTCGATTTGGAGCTTGATTCAAACTCTATTTGGAGCTGGATTCAAGCTCGACAGGTTAATGTTGATTTACTGAAAACCTATCATATTTTTATACACTCACTTTACCCCTTATTCCCTAGGAATAACCGATGTGGGATATCAACTCACAACTAACTTTTTGCTTCAAGTCTCCGATCAGACCCCTCTTCAGTCGCACCTCCCTCCGCTACATGGTTCCTGTGTCTCTAACTTTTTTTCTTATCTTCTTTCATTGCTTCTTTAATTTTAAAAGAAGAAGATCTGTATTTCAAACCATTGAACCACATGAAATGAAGCACTTGAAAACTTTTACAAATGCGTCAGACAAGGATTGTATGCATAACAAGATTCAAACACGCAATTCTCAGAAGAATACTCAAAACAGCCAAAAACTAACACAGATAAAACTCAAAACAACAGCTACTGTCAAAGCTTAATGCATTAAACGAGTAATGAAAACCAAAACAGGAATTGAAAGGATCTTTCTAATCAAACAAACCGAATCCCAAATCATCATCGCTCTCCTCCTCCGGCTCTTCCTTCTTCTTTTCCTCAGCAGGAGCAGGAGCAGAAGCACCACCACCGGCTGCGGCAACGGGTGCAGCGGCAGCGATCGGAGCACCGCCGCCACCAGCACCAACATTCGTTATGAGATTCTCAATATCACACTTCTCGAAAAGCTTAGCGAACAAACTCGGCCAGTATGATTCAACCGAAACATTTGCAGCTTTAACTAAAGTTGCAATCTTCTCAGCGGTAATGGGGACGCCATCGTCATGGAGAATCAAAGCAGCGTAAGAGCAAGCAGCTTCACTAGCCGAAGACATCGTTTCAACTGCTAATCAAAACCCAGTCTGAGAGATAGAATCTAGGAATGGGCAGAATCTGAGCAGTCGCTCTTCGAAATTCAGGGCAAAGTGTTTTTCATTGCTTCTTTAATGTTTTATTTAATTTCCATCTCTTATTTTCATTTGCTTCAGTCAATAGCTGCCGCTTGCCGCAAAGAAAGAGAAAGCTGAAGGGCAATATTTTTATATGTTGTAAAAATGGAATATATGCTCGCACATTTCCCTTGAATTACTATTAATCCAGGAACAAAGTTGAAGGATTTTGTAGTAATCTTGGAATCAGACATGAACTTTCAATCTGAAATCGCTAAGCTCTGAAAAAAGTCAAGGAGTACGCGAAGCAATTTCCGACCATCGGTTTTGAGAAGGAAAAAAATGAAATACAAGGACTAAGGCAAGGTTTGCCCGTTCTAAAGAAGTATGTGAACTGTTGTTGTTCCTACACATTGTTGGTTTGATGTGTTGTAAAACTAATTATGAATTAGACTTTGTATTATTATTATTATATATTATTGTTGTTTTAATGTGATAAACCATTTAATTATATATTTTGACACTATTATTATTATTATTATTATTATTATATTATGTACTATTGTTGTTTTAATGTGGTGTACTATTAATTAAACCTATATAATATTTATAAATTTTTATAATATATTTTTAATCAATTATTAATATTATATCAAATAAACCTACATAGTATTAGTTATACGTTGAAATTCATTTCTAAAAACACGAATTAATAAACATCATGAAGATTTTAAAAATAAAATAATGTATTTATAACACAATCAACATAAATTATTAATATTATCTAAACATAAGTATGCAAATGATTTATTTAGGAGTCATATAACATCATTTTGCATAATTTGTATGTTATCTTCATGTGTATATAACTTAACCCCTATCACATAATCGAATCAAGGGCTTAGGGTTTAGGGTTTACTATTTATTGTTTAGGGTTTAAGGTTTAGTAATTAGGAATTAAGGATTAGGCTTTATGATTTAGTGTTTAGGAGTTAGGAATTAATGTTTAGGGTTGAGGGATTGGAGATTAAGGGTTAGGGGTTAGGTTTAGAGTTTAAGAGTTTAGGGTTCATTACAAATACATTAAATAATCGACTTGGTACTGATTTATGAGGTAAGTACAATATAGTATCTTGATATTAAATGCTCAAACACTTTATATTTATGATATTTGAACCCGAAACCTCAAAATATAACAACAATTTAAAAATAGTTATTAAAAATATTATCAGGAATATATAAATATTTGTCATTAGATAAATAATTTTATTAATTTAAAAAAATATAAGAATATTTATTCAAAAATAATTTTTAACCATTTTCAATTTTTATATTGTTTGACTGTTTTTTCTTATTTTTTATTTTATTTTTCTACGTTGTCAAGTACTTGTGCAGTAAAAAATTAAAAAAGAAAGAAAAAATTCAACCAAACACGTTTAATTTAATGTGCTTAATTAAATGAGGTTTTATTTTTCTTTTAGTAATATATAATGTAACAATTGGACTTTGGCTGGTTAATTAAAAAAATTAAAATTTGAGGGTAGTTGTATTATAAAATTTTTAATATATTTTTAAAATTTTATAATTATCAATAGTGTATTTTTAATATATTTTTAATAATGTAATTTTAAAAAATCTAAAATTATAATACAACATTTTTTTCGAGCTGCTCACGAGCTTTTCGAGTCGAGTATCGAGTAGCTCGTTTCGGTTCATTAAGAACTCGAGTCGAGCTCGAGCTCGAGTCAAGTTCATTCGATCTGAGTATTTATCAAACCTTGATCGAATCAATCTCGAATAATTCACGTCTCATTTACAGAACTAGAGAGAAGTAACGAGGTTAAAAATTTATTTCGAAAAGTTCAAAATTCAAACCGCACATAAAAAACGAATAAAAAAAACGAATACAAGTGTTTACGCAACTTGATAGCGAAGTTACCAAAGACTAAGGAACTTTTTATAAATCGGCAACGAGTGGAGGGTAGTATCGGTAAACATTTGAAACTTCTATCTGACGTAGTAAAGTCCGTCGAACCCTAACTTTCTCACACTATATAATGCCAACATCGCTTCATAAGATTTAGAGATCCGAGGGAAAAAATATAGTTTTTAGCCGCCTTTGTTACGCTTTTTGAGGCGGAAGATCTTAAGAGAGCTTCTGGATCCAAGTTTCTGGGTGCTGAACTGTCTTGGTTTTAACGACTCTAGTTTTATTTAGAAAGTTCTTGGGATTTTCGAAAAGAGAAAGCCGATAATGTCACGTTATCCTTGCCCGCGACCTGGGCATTTAAAGCAGGGATTGCTCGAATCACTAAGGTTTGTTGAGCAACAGTATTTGTGGTTTACACTTTTGATGCTGAACTGCATGCGATTGCGATACTTGATTATGATTTATGTTTTATATTTGTAAGTAAAACGTAGTCGATTTACTTGTTATGTAATCATGAACGACAAAGATCTGTACGTAGACCCATTGTAGGCGTTCAAATAGATTCCCTCAAACTCTTTGAGTTTTTGAATAAAAATATCTGTAAAGAAATTATTGTAGTTTTAATATATAAACGGAGCTGTGTTTAGGGTTTTGGATACCAAAAGTGTTGTAGTTAAGCATATAATAATACCCTTTGGTTTAGGGTTTTTTGGTTAAAAGAGCTCGTGTCCTTTTGAAGATTGGGGCTTGATTTGTATATGATTGGGAATCTGTGTAATTGTTGTCTGATTTATCATTGATAAAGTCCTATCACAATACGAAATTAGACCCTACACTTCAGTTTTATGATGATGTTTTTTGGTCCTCCTATTTTGATTAGGGCTTGATTTGTATATGATTTGGAATCTGTGTAATTGTTTTTGTCTGATTTCATTGATAAAGTCTATCACAATACGAAATTAGACCTACACTTCAGTTTTATGATAAGAACTGTTGTTATTTGGTCCTCCATTGTGTGCCCATCTAAATTCATATTGTGTTGTGCACAAAGCTCGAGAGAAAAAATATTCTGCCAAAAACAGAACAGAAATTACAGAGGGAGAGGAATGATAGGAAGGCAAATGATAAAACTCAATGTTCCAAGAATTTATGAGCTTGATGATTTCAAAAATGGATTAATGATGAAGACCAATTGGAGAGAAGTGATCTTACCGAAAAACATGAGCCACCAGTTTGCTACATATCTGAGCAAACAGCCACAAGAGGAAAAGGGAAATTCTATCTATAGTGAATGCAGGTTGAAGGTGAGTAGTTCATCACTGTTATTTGATTGGCTAAATATGCTTACTGCACTAGGATTCTTAGTGCGCGTATGTATAAATATGTTGGGATGTTGACTTGTGTTGTTCAATGTACAGGGAAGAAAATAAAGATCAAATTTTCCTTGAAAAATCCTGGGCGATCTAATGCATTGATTGGTGAAAAACCATCTTGCTCTAGCAATGGAAGGGTGGATTCTAATCAAGTTCCCGAACAGAACTGTGTCTTGATGATAGAAGGAAGAAGCAAGGTCCCTCTCCTTCCAAGCTGTTCTGTTGCTCTTGTGTCTGAACAGAAACATGGGCTTGCAAGGAAGGAGCAATGCGTCTCTTCTTCTAGAACATTGTCCGAAAGAAAAAAGATTTTTAAGGCTGCGTTGCTATATAAAACCTTGCTTGAGGATTGGTTGCCTCCTGTTCTCCAACCTGAGCTGAATGATGATGATAATGGTGGCAATTGGCTTCTTCCTAGAAACCAGCTTGGGAAACTTGTGGCCAAAAGATTTGATGTCAATGATGTTCCATGTTGTGCTAGTTTGATTTCATGGCCTCAGGCACAGTATCTTCCTGAGGGTGAGATTTATGCATTGCCTTATACAGTTCCGTTTTGATTCCCCTATGATGTATCGATTGGCGAAAAACTATCTTGCTCTAGCGATGGAAGGGTGGATAATAATCAAGTTCCATAGTTTGGTTGCTTTGGTGCCTGATCAGAAACTGTGTCATGATGATTGAAGGAAGCAGCAAGGTCCCTCTCTGGTTCCAAATTGTTCTGTTGCTCTTGTTCCTGAAAAGATACCGAGGCATGATCTTGCAAGGAAGAAGCAAGGTACCTCTTCTTGTTCAGGCTGCATTGCAATATTAAACCTTGCTCGAGGACCTATCTGAGCTGAATGATGATGGTAATGGTGACAATTGTCTTGTTGTTCGGGAAACCTGTGGCCAAAAGATCTGATGGCAATGATGTTCCATGTCATTCTAGTTCAATTTCATGACCGCTGGCACAAGATCTCCTATAGGCTTAGATTTATGCATTTGTTTTTACAGTTCCGTTTGGTTCCCCTTTGTAGAGGGCAAGTTATATTTTTGCTTCCTTACAAAAGAATATTTACGATTCATCGAATTGTAGTTTCAGGGACACGTGTCATTGGTGGAATTGAGTTTACAATGCTCAATGCCCTGGTTGTTCACCTTTATTTTTTGGGCCAACTCTAACATGTACAATGAGGATTTACTAATAGAAACGAGATATTCTGCATTTCATTTTTGGCATTTGATTGTTTCTCTATATTCATTTGCATCATTGCTCTCTCTTAAGGTGTTCTTTAAGCATTAAACGACGTCTTCTACCAGTTTTGCATCTTCGTGTCTGATTTTTGCTTTCAGATGTTGAAACATCATCACTTAATGGAACCGAAGGATAGGTATGTAGTTTGCGAAGTCCATCATATTGCTGGTTATTGTGCACTTTCATATATGCGGCATGGAAATCATAGCCCTCTGTTGGTTCCTTCTGTCCTTGCAGTACTTGCAGTATCTGAATGGTAAACATTTATGAATCAGTGGAATGTTTTTAAGCACCAAACAGACTGAACTGAATCAAGTACCAGGAGATCTAGCTCTTAACTAGAATGATTGAAAAATATGTAATAAAAGGCAAGGCTTTTGATTTATGGAATTAACTAATCAAGCGGGGTCGGCATTGGGGTATTGTCGACCACCGCCCGCTGGTCAAATTGGTATCAGCTTATGATATTCAATCCTTTCAAGATCAATCAGACTTGGATACAAACGGCAAGAGTGCCCACCTGGCTCACTTTTGGACGGTATACATCCAACTGATTGAGGCAGAGGGTTGCTGCGAGAAGCATTCTGTGCATTTGAGCAACGTTGAAATCTCCGTCTAATACCGGATCCACAAATCCTTGGATATTCCTTCTATCTAATAATGCCCTGGCCTGCGTTAGATCATAATTTTGTTATTTAATTATTAACGGATCTGAGGTTTCTAACATCCTTAACTAGTGACAAATTAGTACAGAGTAAGACTTACCCACTGAATCAAGCTCTCTTGTTTGTCCACAGCTTTTGAACTAACAGGTCTCCTTCCTGACAGTATCTAGAAGCACAACGCCGAAGGAGTACACATCGATCTTGTCACTAACCCTTCCTTCCATTAAATACTCAGGCTATGTATCCAAAAGTTCCTACCACAATGCTATCAATCATGCTGGTTGAATCCATTGGTCCCCAAATGGCAAGTCCAAAATCAGATAACTGCAAGGATAAAGTGAAAAAAAGCATTCGAGGTCAGTAAGCTTGCTACTTCATTCAATTAATCTTGTGATGGGTACCCAAAATGACTTGAGTTCATACAGAAGATTATGTTGAATTCCAATATTATCATTGGCAAAGGAAGAAAAGAGAGGGGTGGCCTGTGGTTGAAAATCATCAGAGAGAAGAATGTTGGATGATTTTACGTCTCTGTGGATAACAGGTGGCGAGCATTCATTATGCAGGTAGTTTAGAGCCTCAGCAATTGCTATGGCTATTTTATACCTGACCTCCCATGGCAACACATATTTCCTGCTCTGACCTTTTGGTAAAGAAGTACAATGAAAAACTTGTAACTCCGTTGTATTTTTTATCTTACGAAATGCAAAGAAACCTTGAGAGTTATGTAATACCATGGAGAATTCCTCTAAACTCCCTCTTGGAAAGAAGTCATAGACGGAGATGTGATAGTCATTTTCAACACAAACTCCAATAGGGGCGTATATGCTTATTTTTCAAGGAAGAAACAATATCAACTTCTAAGATAAGTCACTCCAAGCCTCTTTGTACGATTTTATAATTTTAGCAGCCACTGGCTTGCCACCGGAAAGACCCTTTGTATACATTGCTGCATCCTCCCTCTCCGATCAGTTTTCTGTAAGATAATCAAAACCGAGAAAAGACTTCAAAACAAGAACAAAAGCTATGCGTCTCCAAGCCTTCAAATTATATGTATATGCTTAATTCCAAAAGAACTTGTGTTGAAAGATAACCTGGAGAGAAATGGAAGTTGCTTGCTTAAGCTCCTGAGGTGAACTGCTTGCAACGAAGTGCCAAGTTGTTCGGCATCTTTCTTAGTGCTGGCAAGGAATTTTCTATTGTACGCAATTGTCATATTCCTTTGATTCAATAGCAGTGTTCATCGCCCTCTCAACCATTGGCAATGACATCTTTGTAGATTCGATTCTGATAAACAAGAATCAGAAGTAGTGGAAGCTGTAATGCGGAGAGAGGCCAACCATGCTTTGGATTTGGTTCCGCATCGTTTGTGTTCGAAGAAACTGAATCTCCTGCACCATATTCAATCTTGTGATTGTCATTGAAGCTAGTTTGATTCGAATGCAAAGCAATCTGGTCAACAACCGAGGTAACTCGATCAGGTAGGCTCATTATCCCTTCCACAACAGATGTATCCCTACTTTCATGTTTCTTTAACTCTTGGTTTGCAGGAGATTTTCTTCGAATAAGGCCAACCAAGGAAGGGTTTCTGTCAGTTCTCTTTGGATGATAGATATCGAATTCAAGAGAACGGCCTTGTCACTATGATTATCATCACTTGCTAAACCGGAGATGGGAAGAAACGGAGGAGATTCAACTTCTTCAGACCGTGATTCCTGATCTGCATGTCGTAATATAGCACTGCTTTTATCGAGATACAAACTCAGGTGTCAAATTGAACTTGAAACCTACAAAAACCAATAGAAATAAGAAAGTACTCAAGAATCAAAACGAATTTGACATATCCCTTTGGTTCAAACCTTGTGAATGGTGAAATGGAAGCATTTCGAAGATTATCTTTCCCTTCTCAACACTCAGAAGAGCAGTAATTAGCAGCAATCGATGTACACTATAGCCGGCATATATCCACTTCCTAAAACACACACAAACAGATTTTTTGTGCTTTAACATCAAAGGAAATAACTCCAGGGTTAACTTCATCTATAATAAGTCAAAAACTTACCAGGAAGTCTCCTCTGGATTTCTTCCTATAAATACAGTCATGGCTGCGCAACGCTTAGCTATCTTCCTTACAACTTTTCGCCTTGAACTGTTTGTGAACTTGCATAGCTAAGATCGTCTGAATTCAATCAAAAAACAAATAATGGATTAATTTGAAGAAAACAGTGTTAAAAGGACAAATTATTGTAAATGAAATACCCTTTTCATTCTATCGAATCCCCTGCGAGTTTTCCTGCACTCTTTTGTCATCCAGCTCCAGCAAATGAAGGTCTAAAAAGCTATTATCAATTAGAAAGAAAATAAAGTGGAAGAAGATGACTACATTTATACAGTTTATTGGATAATCAAAGCAGTTGAAACAATACCTGTATCTGGAAATACATAGATTGAGACCAAATCATTTCGGGAAAGTGCAGATTTTACAAGCCCGCCAATCTCTCTGTTTGCTGTAATTTCCGTCTTAATCACCATCGTCGTCCAAATTCACTGTTCTTCAAACCTTCTTATTATTGACTGATTCTTTTTTTTCCAATTCAAAGAGTCGAGCAAATACTGAAGTTTATATAATCTCAAAGAAATTTCTCAGATATTTCCTTATTTCATCGAGAAGAGAAAGGAACGGGGAACATGTGAGACTGATAATTCATTCATAAAAAATTTAAAAAATAGATAATTTGGCTATGTGGGTAAAAAAGCTATTAAGAAACAATGAATATTTAAAAAAAATTATCTTATTGATCCATCTAATCATCTGTATTTCCAACTAAAATTCAATGATATCACGTTTGACCTTTTTTTTATTTATGATTTTAATAACAAGTGTAGCTAACTTCACCAACCAAGGTTAACATTAAGCAATTGCCGCCACGTAATCTGATTAATCGAATAATCAAACGTGGAATCGTAATCGTATTGCTTCTAGGAAGTCACAGGTCATCCACTTGACCCAAATTAGATTTACCTCCGGCTTTAGCAGCAGCCTCTAATCACCCTACCAGCCAATGCTTGGGGATGAAAGTTGATGTCATCTTTAAAATTGCATATAGTTTCTTATTTAATATTATACATAAATTTTATGTTATTAACATCATGATCAATGTGATATATCTTATATTTATATGTTTATGTAAATAATTATATTATTGATAAAAATAATAATTTTATTTATTTTCTAAAATATATAATTAAATTTTAATATACTAGATTAAAATTTGTGTATTATATAACTTATGAATCATTTTGTAAACGTGTATGTTTAAGAGTAATTGAAATATTAACCCGTATGTCCAAGAAATATTGGTCTTAGATACTTGCCTTTTTTTAGTAAAACAACGCCACTACATTAATGAAAATTAATTGAACATTTATAGGGGTAATAAATGATTAGAATTCAAAGGGTTTGGAATCGATCCAATTCTATAAATAACCCAATTACCTCCTTTTGAATTCAAAGGGTTTGCAAAAGTTGGGGCCCTATCGACATCGTTAAAACATCCAAATTCGCTTGCTGCTGCTGCCCGGTGGTCTCTCCTAGTTGCTCCTTGTGTCAAAGTTAATGTGGATGCTTGAGCTAGTCGCGGATGCTATTCTTATGTTAGTAGGGAAAATACACATTTTAAAATTTTTAATTAATAATTTTTTTATTGTTTGTGTCCATCTAAAATTTTGTCTATACTTATCTTATGTATAAGTCGTGATTAATACATATATATATATATACACACATACACACACTTACATTAAATATTTTGAATCCACTATTGTTTGTACTTACAAGTAATAAAGTGTGTTAAGAGGTGATTGTTAGAGATAATGGCTAGATATTGGGTTCATGAATTAAAATGGAACAATTTTTTTATTAGGTGAGGTGAATACAATGTAATATTTGTTTAAAGGCTCAATTATTTAATATTGAACGCTCATACACCCCTACATGCATGATGCTCAAACCCAATATCTAAAAAAATAACAATAATTCTTTAATCACTTAAGTCGTTTGATTTATGTTAAAAATAATATTGAATTTAAAATTGTATATTGAAACATTTATATCAATGGCCACTAGTATGAGACAAAAACAATACATTTATTGGCATATTATTAACTACCTTGATAGATGGATTAAATTGATTTATTTAATAAAATTAATTTGAACTGATCTCTATAATAATAGAGATATCAAATCGATCCGTTTAATAGTATATTAATTAAATTGATATAATCCCTGTAATAGAAGGACATGAAAGGTACTTTAACCAATAAAATAGGGATTAAATCCGCGAAACGAATAGTACGGGTACGAATGGTGAATTCAACCGTTTAGCATTACATCCAACTATCCAAGTCCGACTATGCATTCCATATAAGGAAAGAATATAAATTACATAATAGAAAATAAATAAAATTGGAAAACCTTTAGAGAACGAGAGAGGAGGGAGAGAAGTATGTTGAACGGAACAGAGGACGAAAGAATGGCTGGCGGAAGGAATTGCCGGCATTCAACACTACGCTTTTTTATGCATCGAGCTTTGGTATCTCCAAAATCTTTCTCGTTTTCCTTGAATTTGAGCGGATCAAGATCCCCGATCCTCTTTTATTAGTGCTGATTGTGGATTATCTCTTATCTCAGGATTCTAATAATCTTAGGGAAGCTCTCAAGTACTCCGTTCAGATATTATCGGAGCTCCGGACCTCCAAACTCCCTCCTCACAAATGCTATGAGCTTTGTAATTCATTTGTTCCTGTTACTTTTGATTCATTACTTGCCGTGTTTGAAATTTTTAAGTTGTGATTGATTTTTTTATAAATGCTTCTATGATTGGAATTCAGATATGCGATCTTTTGATGAATTGAAGAGATTGGAGTTGTTCTTCAAAGACGACAGCAAACATGTGTCTCCGTGGTTGATCTGTACGAGCTTGTTCAACATGCCGGCAATATTTGCCTAGATTGTAAGTGATTTTTATTCTTCAAATTTAATAATTAATAGCATAATTCTCTGTATATTTGCTTAATATGAAAGCATTAAACAAAAATAAATAATCATCCAAATACTTGTTTTTTATTGCATTGAGCCTTTATCCACTTAAACCCTTAAACATTTGTACTTTCAGCTAATTGAGCCCTCCTAGTCCTATATGAAAAGTTGATGATGGTTTTAACCAATATCCGTCTGATCAAGGCTCAACTGAGTGAAAATATATATTAGAGTATTGAATTCCATTGCAATAAAATGACATGGCTAATTATTTCATTTTACTTTATGGACCTTTTTAGTATATTTATGCCTTTTTTGTATCATTTCAAATTCCAGACAATATGGGCATCCATTCTCATTCTATTTAGCTATGGTTCTTTTACCCAAAATTTTTGAACCTGTCATCAAAACGGGACTCTAGTTTTTATTAAGAAAAGGAGGCAGGAAAACTACAAATGTGCTTTGTGCTGGAAGTTTCTGCTTCGGCACTAGATAAGCTCCAAATAGTTAAAATGATTGTAACGTGAATATGAATATTCTCGAATATTAGACTTTCATTGTCATTGTATATGAAGTTCTAGTTGGCAATCTACCAGGTATCTTCTATGTACGGTAGGATCTATCTATATCAAATCCAAGGAGGCTCTTGCTAAGGAAGTTCTTAAGACCTTGTGGAAATGTGTCGTGGAGTTCAACATCCTATACGTGGACTTTTTTTAAGGAGTTACCTTGCTCATATAAGTCGAGATAAGTTACCAGATATTGGTTCCAAGTACGAGGGGTGAGATCTCTTGCTTAGTTTTTCTTTTCCCACTTGAATAGAAATTTTCATTTCAAAGCTGTCCAATTCAAATTTCATGGCTATTTTATTTGGAGTAGATATGTAAGTTTTTAGTTCTTTCTCTTCAAATATTTGAAGAAAATAAAACAGTTAGTAAGCAGTAGCTTTTGTACAGTTCCTGTATGAGAGCTCTGTTAAAACTTTGATTCTGTTCTATTTTTATCTATCATAAAATATTGCTGAATCTCTATAGGAGCTGATGGCTAATTTTCTTAGAATAGAGTGCATGCAGATCAGTGAATTATTATTGGTGTGTCTAAATTAGAATATGCATTTAGACACAAAATAATTTGGAAACATTTGTAATTAACCAACAAATTAACCAATGCTAGGACATGGTTCTGTCTTCCTGCAGTGATGCTGACACTGTGATGGATGCTGTGGAATTTGTGCTGCAGAATTTCACCGAGATGAATAACTTTGGGGGCGAATGCAGCATCAGGTTTATTAAATATCTGACTCTTATTTTGTTAAGATACGCCAATGCACCACAGTACTTGCATGCCATAAAGTGAAAATAAATTGTGAGAGCATAAATTTTGGCCATGCAGGTGTCATGGTGTTGTGAATCATTCATACTCTTTGGTCATCCTGAGTTGAAGCCTTCAATTGCGATTTCTTGTCTGCAGGGAGCTGGTAGAGTTAGAGAGAAGCGGGAAAAGGAAAGGAGCGAACTTCAAGATCTTGTAATATCGATAATCTAAAATTTCTGATTGGATAAACTCTGATGCTTTGTGTTTGATGCCCATCGACGAAAATTAATCCTTCTGTTCTGAACTTTCTTGTTAGGTAGGGAAAAACCTCCATGTTCTCAGTCAGATAGAAGGGGTGGACCTTGAGATGTACAAAGAAACAGTTCTTCCCAGAGTCTTAGAGCAGGTAATTTTACTTCTTTCTCCACTGCCCCCCCCCCCCCCCCAATCTAACAAGTCAGATGTCTGTAGCATTAAAAGATTTTATATGGTTCTTATACAGGTTGTCAATTGCAAAGATGATCTTGCCCATATTATCTTATGGATTGCATAATTCAGGTGTTCTCTGATGAATATCACTTGCAGACACTTGAGACATTGATGAGTGCTTGCTCCCAGCTCCAGGTGGGTGATGCAAATTGATCTTCTTATTGTATCGGGCGTCTTTCCCTTCCTTCCTGGGCACGTAACCATACCTTTTAACACAATTGTTAGCTTTAGGCTTTATTCTAATTGCCCCATTATGGCATCTTTGCGACGAGTGTCCCACTTCAAGGTTTTTCTATGATGCTTTCTGTTTGTCAATATTTACATAATCTTTATGTCAGTATGTGTAACTAGAAAATATAGTGACTGGCTACTATTTTCCTGTTATCAAGAACAGAATTGCACTGCCTCCGGCTGACTTATTTATTATTTGCTAGCTAATATGTTGTTCCAGTTGGAGTTTTCACTACCTAATTTCCTCTACAAGTCTAAATTCATAAACCTACTGCATGTTTCACACGGTGAGCATGCATTGTGGTATAAATAGCCTAGTAGGACAGGGTCTTCTGCTGTATGCAACACTCTCCTAATGTTTGGGTGAATCTTGTTCATGGAACCTATTTTTTGGTTCAGTGCTTAAGTAAATTTAATCTTTCAATATTTTAGGGCACTAACCTCAACAAATACAATTTCCTTATTTTATAACAGCCAACAGTGGATGTCAAGACTGTTTTGTCTTGACTAATGGACAGACTTTCAAATTATGCTGCTTCAAGTACAGATGTAAGTTATAAGCATAACAACTTCTATTCAGCAGCATGCTTTTGCAAGAGGTTGAGTGAACTTTTCTATGCCAGGTATTACCTGAATTTATACAAGTAGAAGCCTTCTCAAAGTTGAGCAATGCGATTGGGAAGGTAAATCAGCTAGTACTCCCATGCTGAAGTTGCAAATTACCATCATGCTTGTTTCAACTTTATAAAGTAATTATTCAATTTAAAATGTGAATGGTTTTACATAACCAAGTCAGGTTACGGCCCCTGAACTTACCACCAATATTTATGTAGATGATGACCCCTTATCTTACCCCCTCTTTTACTTCCCCGCCAGTACCCAAGTGTTTTTATTTTTGATTCAATGGCAGGTCATAGAAGCTCAGGTAAACATGCCTGCTGTTGGAGCAATAACTTTGTATGTATCTCTTCTTACATTTACACTTCGTGTTCATCCTGATCGACTTGATCATGTGGATCAAGTGCTGGTATGTTTCATATGAGGACTCTATTTACATAATATCTCCTATAGTACTGCAACTTTGGCCATGCTATTTTTATGGCATTGATCATTGGCGAATGTATCAGAATAATATTGATTGTTCTTATTGTTGATTTCTAACAGGGAGCCTGTGTTAAGAAGCTCTCTAACATACCAAAACTTGAAGATAGACGGGCAATGAAACAAGTGGTTGCACTTTTGAGTGCTCCACTGGAGAAATACATGATAGTAACAGCCTTAACACTTTCTAATTATCCACGTGTAATGTACCATCTTGATTGGAACAAATAAAGTCATGGCAATGGTTATCATTCAAAGCATCATGAAGAACTACTCTTGCATTTCAACTGCAGACAAGGTGTGCCTCTTCAGTCTTCTTCATCTAACTGTATCAACTTCTTTGTTGAAGAAACTGATATTTCTTTTTGTAGGTTGAGGTTTTGTTTGAATTAATAAAAGGACTCATTAAGGACATTGATGGTGCTGATGTGGAAGAGGTGCATATCAAATCTAGAATTTTCCTGCTATTCTATTAAAATTTTGATAGATTTGAGTTCATTACTTTTCATTGCCCCCTTTCCTGATAATCCAAGTTAGATTGTTCTTCTCCTGTTGCTCAGTTTCCCTATCATGTTTTTTGTGGATGTACATAAGTTATCTACATTTCTTTCTTGTGATCTTCATTTTTTATGTATCTTGCAATAGCTTGATGAGGGGATTTTAAGGAGGAACAAAATTCGGTTGCTCGCTCATACACATGCTTTATAATGATGAACCAGAGGAAATGTTGAAGGTAAGTTTTTCAATGTTTCTTCTTATGCTAATTTTATGCTCAATACCAGGACATGGTCTCCCATCACAATGTATGAGTGCAATAGTATTATAGGATATGAAGATGGAACTTCACCATCTTCTAATTGTGAGTTGTGACAGGTTTCATGCCTCTTCAGTCTTCAATTCCCATAATATGTCATAGCTGTGGCATATTTAGGATAATTTCTTGTTTAATTTCAATGTTTTCTTTTAGTTATGTTGTTTATGATTGATCCAAATTATTTCCCCTCTGAACGTATATAATCAACTGCCTTCAGATTATATGTATTGTGAGGAAGCATACTATGGCTGGTGGACCAAACGCCTTCCCTTTACAGTTTCTTCACTTGTTTTTTCAGCACTTAGGGTATGTTCTCCTTTTCCATATTGTTATGTACTTTTGTCTCATCATTTTTCCATCTACTACAATGAGTATTTAATGCCTATTAGTCAAAATCTAGAAGATTATACATGCAGGCTGCTGGGTTTTGAGTGTAATCATTATTTCTTATTAGATTCTTTCCCCTCATTCACCTATCCACTTTCTCCAAGAAAAACCTGGTTTTTTTTTCTCATACATATTAAATTCAGATTTATTGAAACAATTGCTAAAGAAATGAAATATTTGCATAAACATTGTATTTGTAGCATATATTGTTCAGACTTATTGTAGCGTGCTTATGTACAGTTGGTTAGGCAATTGCAAGGTCTGGAGGGGGATATAGTGGGAGAAGATATGCCAGTGACACCTAAGAAAATTTTCAGCTCTTGACAGGTTTCTCTATTTACATGGATTTTAACTGTTTCTTCTGCAGTGTTCATACTCTTATGCATGTATATCTCAAATATGCAAAGGATCACTCTAATAGTTCTTTCAGATGATTGACTCTCTATCAGCTGTTCCATCATCGGAACTTGCATTAAGGTTGTACCTGCAATGTGCTGAGGTAATCTCGAGTCTTGACTTATACCAAACTACTGCATAAAGTCGTTTGTTAATTAATTAAACCTCGAAATCCTTTTGGACAAAAACAAGTTTTGTAACTTTAAGAACAAGATGCTATTTTTCTAATTGGTAGTTGGGAAAATGCATACTGGGATAAATAATGCCGCTCACGAGAGTGAGAGATTTCTGATGAACAGTTTGCTTATAAGAACAATCAGCTTTATTCCGGCAATCTTGCTGCCACGACTGATTATTTCACGAAGTTTTTATGTAATTCCATACATTTGCGATAAATATTTTTGCTTTAGATGATGCGAAGTTATTGTCATATAAATCTCACATCATTATGACAGTTTGTTGGCATTCAACCATGATGATATTGACAATACAAGCATCATGAACAGTGCTGCAGACTGTATTTGGTTGTATTCCTTTTTTATGAAGGGAGCCTTGGATTTTATTTTGAAATTTCTAACCTCTGTTTTGTCCTTTTTCTGTTTCCTTTTATCCAGGCGGCTAATGGCTGTGATCTTGAACATTGCGTATGAATTTTTCACTCTGGCATTTGTATTATATGAAGAAGAAATTGCGGTAATTGACTACACTGATCAGCTAACGTTGAAGTCAGTCTAACATACTGTAGTTTTCTAATGTTTATTGCTCATAGGACTCTAAAGCCCAAGTGACTGCAATTCATCTGATAATTGGGACACTCCAGAGGATGAATGTATTTGGTGTTGAGAACCGAGATACTTTAACGCACAAAGCCACAGGAGTAATGTTGCTTGCTCCTTTTCTGATTTATTGTGCTTCATTGAACTGTTTATACAAAACTTAAATGTCTTACTTTGGTCAGTATTCAGCTAGGCTATTGAAGAAGGCTGATCAGTGCAGAGCTTTATGCATGTTCCCATCATTTCTGGGTTGACGATCAAGACGGCATAAAGGATGGGATAGGTGTGACCTCAAAGCTCATTCTCTTTGATACTTCCCTTTTTCGTAAGGATGGGGATAGGTGTGACCTCAAAGCTCATTCTTTGATACTTCCCTTTTCGTTGTTATCTTATCTTTGTATAGACTAAATTCCTTCCAAAAGTAAGGAACTAAAAAACATGTGGGCGAGGTTGCAGTGTTCTGCTTTGCCTAAAGCGAGCTTTGAGAATCGCAAATGCCGCTCAGCAAATGGCGAATGCTGCTCGAGGTAGCGGTGGGCCTGTTACACTCTTCGTTGAGATTTTGAACAAGTCGGTGCTTAGAACTGTACCGGATCAAAACTTTGCTCATAGTACACAGCTTAAGCTTTTAGATTATAATCAAGTGTTTTGTGTTTGAGTTTTCTTTTAGGTACCTCTATTTCTTTGAAAAGGGAATCGGCAAATCACCAGCTCCGCAATCCAAGGCCTGATAGAATTAATTAATACGAGACACAGAGTGATTCCACAAACCCTGATATCATTTCGGATGCTTTCCTTGCCAGCACATTGCGTACATTCAGTTCCAGAAACAAAAAGGCGGCGTAGCGGGTGAGAAATTCGAATCCATTAAACTTTAAATCCTTGAGTAAAATAGGGAATCTATGCATGACAGGCAAAGATGTGAAAATGGGATTTATTCTGGAGTTGGAATTCATGTTTTTTATTATTACGTTTGTTCTTTTTTATACCCCGCCGTTGCTTATTTACCTGTTTGAGGTGCTGGAAATGCGCCAAATCTTTTTTTTAAATAATAAAGCTATAAAGAAACATTTTGTTATACATATTTGCAGGATTCTTACATATTTTAAGATCTTATTTTGCATTTACTTTAGATATTTATTTCATAACTAAATTTTAACACTACATAATCGGAGAAAAAGCTCATAACTAAAACAGCCAAATCTTAATATCATCTGAATGAAAATTCTACGACCCATGCCATTAACAATACTTTCTCATCATCAATCTTATAGATCTGACAGTAAGTAAATCACAAAAACGAAAACAGAAAAACACCTGATTCTTCTTCCTGAAGGAACCCCAACAATGTCAGCTTAAACTTGAGAGAATATACACGATGGCTTTGCTACTTCTTTGAATGTTGAGCTGACAGTACAGATCTATATTTGTCAGACTCGAATCTTCCGTCAATCATAATATTGAGCAACCACCATGTGCCTTTTTCTTCTTCTTTTTTTCTTCGGAGGTTGTAGCACCACCGTAATGGCTGCATCAAACACTGCCTTCACGTTCTGAATTAAAGTTGTCCCACAAGATTCCATCAGAAAATGACTTCAAACCCACATTTTCAGCTCAAAAAATACAGAGATGTAGAGAGCACTTAACCTCCTGTGTTTTTGAACTACACTCGATGTAGGCAGGAGACGTTATCAATTTACTTAAGAGAAAATAACCTCAGATGACAAAAAATATCTTATAATATACAAATTTAACTAATTTTTTTTTGGATTTGTCAAAATGACCAACAAATTTGCAACGCGAATTCCAATTTCGCAACTCAGTTTCCAATTTCGCAACGCGAATATATAAATCGCATTGCGATTTTCCAAATTCGCAACGCGATAGTCAAATTCGCTACGCGAAAGTCAAATTCGCAACGCGATAGTTAAATTCGCAACGCGATAGTTAAATTCGCAACGCGAAAGTCAAATATTTTTACGCGAAACATAATATTAATTTCGCAACACAAATGTAAACAGTATTATCGTAAATCATCTCTAACCTAAAACCCTAAAGCACAACTCAGTCCCATCTTCATCTCTCACTCTCTACGGCGACATCCGTCCCCATTTCCGACGAAATCCGTCTATCTCCATCTCTCAGAGCAACCCTCACAACCATTCACGGTCAGAAATGGAAAATCAACCATCGAGGGTTAGTTTTTTTAATCTCTTATTTTTATTTTGAATTTTTTGTATTATTATTAGATTAACCATTTCACTGAGATTGCTAAATTCATTTGGTTGCTGCCAATACTGCTAAACTGTTTAGTCTTTAACCCTGTGAAGTTAGTATTTGTCTTTTTTTATCTTTTTGTTAAAGAAACCCTAAATCGTAACACCAAATTCGTAACGCGAAAATGAAAATCGCAATGCGAAACTAAAATCGCGTTGCGAATTTAAGTTTCAGAAACTTCTTTTATTCTGCAAATTGAAACTTGAATGAATTGCATTACTTTAACCAAAAAATAAAGACAAATACTAACTTCACAGTGTTGCTAATTTAAGTTTCAAGAATAAACTACTACTCTTTATGTTGTTCTTTAACCTGCACTAAACATATATGTTGTCCTTTTAAATGTTTATATAAGTGCTTACTTCTGGAATGTTATCTGATGCATTTTGTGAACTATGATGAAATAATGACTTGGGTGAATACCGTGCTAGTTTGAAACATATTTGGCTTTGTTTTCATTGTTTAATATCATGTCTGTTTATAGTGTATAATAGGAGTTTTTGGTATATTTAACTGTATGTTTATTGTTTTTGTAGAATTTTTTTTCGGCTGCATTGACCTTAAGGAATAAATTAAGCATAGCCACTAAAATTGCGTCGACACTTACACCTCTAAAAAGAAAATTGTTTGAGGATACTTGCTTCGAGCCATGGCTGAAAGTGCAACATACGAGTGGAGATGCTATGTGACACATTTGTTTCTTCAGACCATGACTAACGATCTACCCGAGGGGATACAACGTGGTGATGAGGAGATATGGTTTCATTTTCCTCCGGCACATACTTGTTTTGGGCGGGAGGAGTTTTGCTTAATCACTGGTCTACTCTTCGGACACGATGATGTAGGTCGGTACACTAGTCATATCGCCCGCCCATCATGGTTATCTCAGGTTTTTCCTGAGCTGGCAAAGTCGAAGCCGAGTTTACACGTCGACGACTTGAAGAGATTATTTGATAAAGATGGTTTTACTCGGATGGACGACCTTGATGTTGTTCGAGTATGCCATTTATTACTTTGCATGCCGACTTTTTAGGCAAAGAGGGCAGACAACCTATCTCCGAGGACCTAATATATTGGTAGATGACCTAAATGCATGGAATATGTTTCTGTGGGGTTCATATCTATGGAAAGCTACCTGGAAGAAGTTGTCGTCTGCCTTTGAGGACTGAAAAAATTTGCGGGGCGATGGTTCTAAATACACTTTAACAGGCTTTACTTGGGCCTTTAAGGTAAGAATTTCTATATAATGTTTCCAAAATTATAATCAATTATTTAACAATTACTAATGTTTGTGTATTATATTGTTTGTAGATTTAGATATTTGAGGCTTTCCCCAGCATGCGAACATATGCGATAAAAAGATCAAATGATATTCCTAGGGCTATTACCTGGAAGAGGATCCATATGTTGGATTGGGAAGAGTTACTCCCATATACGACGATGAATGATGTAAGTTAACACACAAATAATACCATATATAAACAAGTTATTACTAGTACAAGTTTAACTTTGTTTGAGCTTTTATATTGTTAGGAGGCCAACTATCCATTACAGAGGCTGAGCTTGCCACTGATTGGTGGCAAGCTAGTAACCGTTTTTTGATGGGACGGATAATGAGCACCCCTACTTCGAGAGCCATCACCTAATCAAGTCGATTCTACAGCTCGACACCCGGAGCCATCACCTGATCGAGCCTCTTCTCCACCTCCACCATCACCTATTATATCACATCATCGAGCCTCTTCTCCACCATCACCTCATGATAGGAGACCATCAAAGAGGCCACGACATTTATCTCCATGTTCTCCACCTCTACGGGATGAGTTAGGGGAATTACGTGATGAGGTTGTTGCTTTACGTCATGAGGTCGGTACTTTACGTGAAGATAATGGTGCATGGAGTGATGAGGTTCGATCTTTACGTGGTGAGGTAGATTTTTTACGCGATGACAATGGTGCGCTATGCGGTGAGGTATCTACTTTACGTGATGAGGTTGCTGCTCTACGCGAGATTGTTTCATTGTTGCAGAATGAGATTCATACTCTACGCAATGAGGTAATTTTGTTTAATACTATACTAAAAATGCAAATAACCTTTTTTCGACATTATTTATTTATTTATTTACTGATTTATGTATTAATTTATTTTCAGCGGCCCGATAAGGTAGATGCTTTACGTCGGGTTTTTTTTGTACGACGGGGTTTACGCATCAGACATCGTGCGCGTTCCATTACGTCTCCGTTCACCCCACTAGTGCCAAGACTCCGTAAGAATAAGCCCGATGCACCTATCATCATTCAAGAGGCGCCTCATATCGTTCAAGAGGCCCCTCTCATCATCGAAGAAGCCCCTCCCACCGTTCAAGAGGCCCATGTCATCGTTCAAGAGGTCCCACCCGTCGTTCAAGAGCCCGATTCACATGACGTCATATGTCGACATATTGATAAACCCCCTCCCGTGCCTAATATGATGGATGCGAGTTGGCTTTCGTATGTGTTACCGGCCAGTATCATTCCTCAGCAGGAGATGGAACACTACCGGAAACAATTACATATAATACCCTTTGAGCTAAGACCGCAGTTGATTTTTATCTACATGAGCGGAGCAAGGGGTGTTATTATGACTTATGCCAAATCGACGTTGCTATTAATTTGTTTCTTGATCGGTCTTGGTGGGGTATTTTATTAGGGGTTGAAGATAATGACTACCTCGAAGGGGTGGTAAGTATTATATTCTTCTTATATTGCATTTTGATTAAATTTTTTTTAATTATTAATAAATTCACTATATTTTTTTATAAAACAGCATATTGATGCATGGGTGTCACGTCTTCTAATAATAAGGAAATTGAAGAAAAGAGGTACTCGATGGATTATTATGCCGACGTCTTTTCATGCAGCTCATTTGAAGGATCAGAGAGATACTTCATATAAGTTGGCTAATGGAAAAGCTAAACTTTATCCTGCGTGGTGAGAGGTCGATAATCTTAGTATTTATTTTTGAATATTTTAAAGGTTTTCATAAATTTTATTTGATGTGCGCAATTATTTATAATTGCAGGTGTTTATCCCTATTTTGGAACATCGTCATTGGCTTCTCGTCGAGCTTCAGCTCCCATCCCTGAAGACAATGGTATATGACAGCATGTTGAATTACATACCATTGTCTGATTTGAGAGATATTATTACAAAGGGATGGAGTGATCATTTGGCTAAATACTTGAATGCGATTGATTATTGGACAAATTCTGGAAACAAGAAGCCAAAGAAGTTCAAAATTACAATGATCAGAGACGAGACTACGCCACAACAAACGCAGGGAGCCAGAGGGGATTGTGGTCCTCTCGTATGCTTGTGCTTGGAACGTTTGACAACAGGAAGTATACAATATCTACCTCCCACAGATAGAGATAGAGTTGCAGTAGGCTTTTGGTTTCGACATTATATGGCCAGATCGATATATGCGAGACGCTGCCTACCTGCATCCGCGTGCTGAAAGTTGTATAAATAATTGGTAAGTTTGAGCAAGTGTTGTTAACATATATACTCTTTAAATGGTTTGAAAATATTTTGGTTTGAAAATATTTGGTTAAGTACCTAGAATTCAGTAATTTGATGTTTGTTGGTTTTAGATGTGTAGAAAGTGTTGTTTGAGCAAATGTTTGGTTTCTGCAGGTTAATCCTGAAGTGAGCTGCGTGAAATGTATTGTGTATAAACAACAGTCTGGGGTACACTGTTTTCTTTGTTTAATTGAATTTTACATTGAAAGTTGATTTGTTTAATTGATGAGAAAATAAGATTTTTTTTGATTAATTGATTTGTAAAAGTTGATTTGTTTAATTTGATTTGTAAATAAGAATTATTTTTTTGCTTGTTTAATTGATTTGTAAAGTTGATTTGTTGTTTCTAAAAAATTCAATATGCATTATGTTTGAAGGCAAAAAAGACCTATTGAAGGTACAAATTCGCAAAGCGAAAGTCAAATTTGCAACGCGATTTTCGGTTTATGAATTTGACTTTCGTGTTGCAAATTTGACTATCGCAACGCTTATTTCGCGTTGCGAATTTGACTTTCGCGTTGATCGCAACATACAACATCAAGATATATAAAACATCAAACACATTCCAAGCTATAAATACAAGTTAAGGACACTTGAAGAAGCAAGAGAACAACTATCCAAAAAATCAAACACAAGAGAAAATCCCAACATGATCAACTGAACATATCATATCAATGTTCAAACTCAAGTTGTAGATTTTGATTTCCTTTTGTTTGGCATCATATGAGATTTGGATTTTGATTTCCTTTTGCTTTGCACCATATGAGCTTTGAATTTTGATGAGCATCGTAAGTATTTCAGACTTATGATTTGGGCAGTACTCAGAAGCATTTCAGACTTATTATTTTTGTTATTA